GAAGTGACAGAGGGAATTCAAGTGTGCATTGTTCAGTGAAGGAAGTCAGTTTGAATGTCTACATTCTGACCATATGGCATTGTGGAAAGGGCAAAATCCCAGATTGATGGGTTCTAATCATTCAGGGGAGAATAATAAGCAAATTCAGGGCATTTTTAAGGTGACAAAATGATTCTGTATGATACTGCAAGTGGTGGATAAATGGCATTATATGTTTGTCAACAGTCAGAACTGTGCAACCCAGAGTCAAAACCTTCATGTAAATTATGGATTTTACTTAATAACGATGTTTCAGCACTTGTTGATCAATTTGTAATAAATGTGCCATACTAATGGTGCACACCTTTAATCTAGCTCTCGGGAGGCAGAGGCAAGTGGATCTCTGTGAGTTTGAGACCAGCCTTGTCTACAAGAGCTAGTTCCAGGACAGCCTCCAAAGCCACAGAGAAACCCTGTCTCGAAAAACCAAATAAATAAATAAATAAATAAATAAATAAATAAATAAGTAACCAAAAAAAGATATTAGTGTAGAAAAAGACAAGGTATGCAGGTCTGGGGGCTCAGAGGACATAGGGAAACTCTGTACTTTCTTTTGCAACTTGCCATATACCATGTATTCTAATCTTTGATTTAAGATCAAAGGTTTTGTTTTGTTTTCATTTTAGAGAAGGTTTCTCTATGTATCCCTGGCTGTTCTGGAACTCGCTACATAGATCAGGCTAGCCTCAAACTCAGAGATCTGTCTGTGCTTGGGATCACACGTATCTCCCAAGTGCTGGGATTAAAGGTGTATGCTTCCATGCCCTGCTGTTTACCAACATTTAAAGTAATCAATACATTTTAAGAAATATTGGAAGCAAATATAATAGGCAGTAGTGGTGTAACTTTTCATCTTTCTTAGGATACTTCTAGATTGTGCTTATTTTCTCAGTGTCCCATCTGGCCATTATTTGTCACTCTCAAAGTGTAATAAGTGGATAGGGATTTATGTAGTCACCACAGACAAAGGGCTGTTATTGAGAAATAATACCCGTAGAGCAATAGAAGAAAGATAATTCAGGAGAACAGCAGCAGTTTATAGGAATAAGGTCCATGTTTAGACTATTTGTAACTATATTAAGTGGATTTCTTGTAGGAAGTGTTTAGTTGGACCATGGTTTAAAGAAAAAAAAAATCCATCCAGGCCTTTTAATTGGGGTGTTTAAATTTGTGTCTAATTTTTGATTATACTGTTGGGAATGGTTCTATTAACATCATGTCAAGCAGACTCCAAGCAAGGAATATTTCTAAAGATAAAGAAATTCGTTTCACAGAATCAGTTGGAGGGGACTGGGTGGCACACAAGGCATGTACGTCTATGGAGGCTTCAAATTCATGAAACAAAAAGAGAAATAGACAAACTGGTGGTCAGAGTTGAGACCAGATCATCTTGTCCTTAGGTTATAATTTTCTATTTTTGTTCTGTGGGATTTTCATTGACTTCTTTAAGTGCTTAATGGGCCAAACGTTCCTTCAAGACTAGTTCTTCATCTCTAATTTCTCTAATGTGAGCCAGTAGGATGCCTGTCTTGGCATCGAACTCCACTTTTGTCTGTGAGCTCATTGGTAGCAGGAGTTTCTTTTCTTGGGAACCAGTAAGTGCCTTGAATTATCAAGGCCTCTTTAGGTAATTTCACTACTGCCTGCTTTGACTGTGTTTGCTGGGAGATTGGCTTTCTGACTTTCTATGGTTACTGCATTTGCTTCATTTTTGCTACCTAGAAATTTTCTATTCCTTGCTTTTGAGCTTATGTTATATAACATTTTGCTGTTCAGAACAGTCTGAGAAATTCCCATGTCTGATTTGATTTGGGTTTTGATTAGACATCTTAATAGGTCTCCCACAACACAACCTTGACGTCAGCCTTCACCCTTTCTCTCTGCTCATTGTCCTGGAATTATAACATTATAATAAGTTGTTCTTTTTTTAACTGGGAGAAGAAATGGCACTGCCTTCCTGGTGGCATCTAAAATTTGCTTGCAGAAGATACTCTTTTGTTTTGGAATTCACCACTTGACCCCTGTGCTCTGTCAATAGGAAACAAACCCCACCCTCAACCCCCATCTCCAGTCTTGGTGAGTATGGGAAAACACCCAGGGAGCCCTACAGAGATTTCTGACTCTGAGATGTGAACACCCTTTAGCAAAAAGACCTTTGGAATTACTTAGATTGTGCCTCTGGGACTGTTTTCTTAGAACACCACCATGTCCTAATTTGGAGTCACATCATGCTATGCTTGAGGTTGGTGTGTTCTTGAAAAGTTATAGATAACAGTCTGGGACCAGAGTTGTTTGCACAAGACTGGGGGCTGGGGTGGGGGAAGACTGTAGAAGAAATATTCACTTTTTAAAGATGAAGGGGACGCTGCCCAGGACAGCACATCTTAGATCTGGGAGTAGGCATCTCACCTGACTCCCCAGCTCCAGGGGAATCTCCATGGGTATTTTTTTTACTACCTCTATTATCAGTAATGGGACAGGTCTGGGATCTGAGAGGGGGAAATCAGTTTTTGAAGCTGCCACAAGAGTGGGCTCACTTAGTTCTGGACTCTATCTAGGGGCAGGAGGCTGGGATAGGCCCGGTGGTGGGAGGAATACCTACACCCCTGAGGTAGGATAGTGTTTGGGAAGGACTTAAAGTCAGCTCTGGTTCATGTGTTTTCAAGGCAGTTACCTCTCTGAGCAGGGATTAGCCACCTAGCTGTGCTGGGGTGGGCATTTCCTCTGTCCCCATGAGCTTTCAGGGAGCTATGTTGTTCTCTGAGAATTAGGGGAAAAGCTGGCCCCTGCTGTGGGAGGAGGGAATGGAGACTTCCAGCTCTGGTGGGAAGGACCCAGGAGAGACTGAGTGAGTAGGGATGGTGGGTGAGGCTGAGCAGGGGGCAGGCCAGAGCACACACTTCTCTGTATGGCATCGTATGGAATGAGCCCTTATTTCCTGGGCCATGAGCAGCCATGGAAAGATACCAAGAAAGTGGATGGTGTGATTAAACTTGTGCTATCCAGAAAGAAAACAGCAGATTCTCTCAGGATTTGTAGATGGCTGTGGGGAGCGTCTGCTGGTTTGGTCTGCCTGGCACCGCTTCTGCCCTCCCTGTGTTGATAGAACTTTCTAAAAGGAATCTAATTAATGTGCTTTAGGTAGTTCTGACCGCAGTCTTCTCCAAATCAGGGAGTGTGCTCATGCCCAAGCCAGGCCAATGGGGCACCTGACCTGGCTACGTGAGCTGCTTCAGGGACAGGGCTGGGTTTCAAGTTTGAGTCAACTGATTGGGCCTCCAACTCTTGCAACACAGGCTAGGGAAGACTATCTTTTTCTGATGGGGTCTCTAAATAGAATATGAATCCAGGGCTACTGATGACTAAGAAGGCTTCCTGCCACGTGAGGAGGAAATATTTGAGCGATGGTATGAGTCAGAGCCCTGAGGATGTAGTTTGGGGTACAGCTATGGATCACATAAGTGGAGACAGGCCACTGGAGAAAAGAACTTCAGGGATGCTGGTGAAACGCT